GTTTCTTAACAACTGATATCAAACAACTGGTCGTTAGTTTCCTATCTCATTTTTCCTGCTTCTAGTTTTTGAGGCTGTGAAAATTTTTGAAACATCCTCATGATCTCCAGTACTTATTTTTGTAGTTAAGCAAAAAAAACCTAATTTTGAGAAAGGAAAAGCAATTAATGGAGCAATTAAAAACACGTATCAAGTATGGCTTATTTTAAGGCATAGGCAAGAATTAACAAGCTGTGTGTCGTGGAAATAATGTAGGCTACTTCGATGACGAGCACGCTCCGAGAGGCCCTTATCTTGACAACTGACGATTCACTTTCTTTTCTTTTTTTTTCTTAAAGATTTTGTGACGGACTTGGGTTCCACAGGCTGGATGCTGGAAAGCCTCTTTTGGCCAACAGAAGATGCAGGAGTGATGAATCAGCAGGCCCTCGTCGTGTGGAGGCGCTCTGCAGGTCCTCGGTGAATGCGGATTGGTTGACAAAACCAGTGTGAAAAAGCTGACTCGAGTATACCCTTACACTTAGAACTGGAATTTGGAAAAGTTGTGTGTGTCTAGAAACCCTGAGATCTGACGTACTACCAGGGAAGGCCCAGCCAGCGATGAAACACCTTTACATCATGTCTGTCAATTTCCCCCGGCCTTCATTCGTCCACGGAGCCAAATGAATACTGACGACGATAGCTGTTTGTACAGCGGGAATATCGTGCACAACTAATTCGCGATAAGACAGTATCACCGGGATTAGTGATTGATAGCCCGCTTATTAATGGGGGCATCTCCGAATACGCAGTGCTGATGAGAATTCCCTAGCAACCACTGTGTCACATGACTGCAACCTATGCAATCCAAACCTTTGTCGAAGCGGACAAGGCATAGAAAGCACTGCTATTGAAAGAAAACAGACGCCGCTCACCGTCCCCGAAACCTAATTTCGCCGTCCTTCTCGAATGAAGAGCAACTTGGCGCACCAGATGTTGTTAGGAGTACCTGTACCTCTTATCTGGTATCATGAACTGGCCCGTCTCTCTTTTTGGTTGACTACGATGGCTTAAAAAGATCATATTAACTTTTCGTGTTGCCGTTTGACTTCTGTCGTGCATTGTGCTGTCAATTGCTCAGTGTTTGAACTTGTAGGCTGAAAACACACGTTTCGTATTCAAAGGCACCTCGCTGAAAGCATGTTGGACAAAGATCGATCTGAGCTTTCAACTTGGGCAAACACGAAGCTGGGAAATGTACACAGGGGATTTTGGATTTTTGAAAAGAGCAAAGCTGGAGCAGTTTATCACTGTCGCTGTGTTATGATAGGAGTCCATTGCTAGGTGACTGATGATACGCTATCGGAGCCAGAAACGGATCAAATTGACGGTGATAAGTCAGCGGCCAGAGAATTTACTGATGTGCAACGGATCGAATGGAAGGTTGAGATTTAGTTGAACTGATTTGAGCAACTCTTTTGAATTAATGCGAGTCGGAGTCGCATTTTTGTCAGCATATAATATTTGAAAATTGCCATGTTGTTCATGATGGGGATTTGACGTATGTTTTCGCAAAGAAAGAACCACTTTCGCTCTGTGTCATCGTCGGCAATGGGATTGAACTCGTTGAACGTGACTCCAGGATTGACAGCACGCAGCGTGCCGTCCTGGGCCCCACCCGCCGGGTCCCGTCAACCGGCCCGTAGTTTCTCCGCTGAGTCCCTGCACGTCATCCCGCAGACTGTAGACATCGAGTCGCAGTTTCAGGCCGTCCTGGGCAAGTGTCTCTTCGAGAAAGCGGTGCAGATAGCTGAGGAGGAACAAACGGCATCCGGTCGCGCTTCCCCAGCGCGGCCGAGCAGTGCCTCGCCCTGCAGCTCACGCCCCGGGAGCAGCTACGGGTCTTCAGGCGCGAACTCCCCCATGCTGGACAGCAGAACCACGCTCAAGCTCCGACCGACCCGCTGCACCTCGCCCCTCGTCAAAGGCGGCCGGTCGTTCGATTCGTACATCAACAAAGGCTCCGTCGACCGACTGGCTGTGGCAAGCACGCGAGGGGCCGTCGAGCCGCCCCGGCCCAGCATCTACCGGTACCTGCGACGAGTTAAGACTGCCTCGGATCAGAACCTGAACGACTTCTCGCTGAAGGCGGAATTCACGGACAAGATGAGAGAGGTCGATCGAGAGCAGTACTGGAGGAGGAAGAAGGAAGAAAAAATCGTCGAGGAAGAGACCAGGGAGAGAAAGAGGAAGGAAAAAGCCGAGATGATGCTCATCCTCGAAGACATGAAGAAGGAGTACGAGGAGAGGAAAGCGAAGGAAGCTTTGGAACTCCAACGACTTCAGCTGGAGGCGGAAAGAATCGCTAAAGAAAAATTGGAGCAAGAACTCGCCGCAGCAGAAAGTATCGAGAACCAAACCAAGGATGAAGTATCGTCCGTCGTTTCTAGCAGCAGTAAGGGCAGCAGGAAGAGATCTTCCAAGAAAGGTAAAGGATCAAAGAAGGAGAAGAACTCCAAGAAAGGGAAGGGTGCGAGGAAATCCGCTAAGAAGAGGTCGTCTGTTGCCCCTGCAGCGCCGGGGGTAGAGGGGGAACGCTCAGGCAGTAGCTCGCCGCAGCCAATTCTGAAGATGGACGAGCGCCGACCGAGCGACGACGGCAGCGGTGGGGCCGGGCAAGGGAAGCGTGTGACGTTCCGTGAAAAACTGGTCAGTACCCGGACCATCCGGTCGCACAAGCCCGTCTCGTCTCGGAGAACTTCTCCTAAGAAACCCTTTCCGGGGTCCGCGTCCTCGGAAGCCTGCGCCTCGTTGCCGACTACGCCCAGGGAAAAGCGCAAGAAGCCCGGCAGCTCCAAGGGCAAACGCGGCAGCAAGAAAGGAGCAAAGAAGAAGTCAACAGAATCGATACCACCAGTCGAACCTCCACCCCAGGAACCAGAACCGACAGTTCTAGAGGTGCCAACTCCTGAACAGGCTGTGGAACCAGAACCAGAGGAATCGAAGGAACCGGCGGTGATCACTGTCGAGGAGCCACCGGAGTTTTGCCCGGCGGCTGAGTACAAGACCCGTAAACAAATGGTGGAAGAGTGGCTGTATTACCGAAGTTGTTCAGCAGCGTGTCGTGCCAATCCGCCCATCTTATGACATCGTTACAGCTTATCACACGGCAGCCATTTTAATCTCACCCATGGACAAAACCTTTACTTACATTAGTTTATTTGAACGCTTTAGACGACTTGTTTGCCATGTGCTTGCACGTGGCATTTGCCAAATGTAAGTTCGGTTAGGGTCAATGAATTTGAAATGGATGAGGAATGCAGCGATATCTCTTTAGCTGTGTTAAAGTTGGTCAAAATGTGTACATGTATGAGCGTACTTACAGGTTTAGAAATCTATCGCTTGTCATTCAAATTTGACATGTCGGCAAAATTGGGGGGCAACTTTGAACTTCCTTTCCCAAACAAAACATGGAACTGTTATTAAAGTAACGATCGCGAGCTCAAACGAGACAAGACAAGATTTGGCACTTGCGGGCCTCCAAGGTTTTTAGACTCGGGTGCTGGAAACAGGTTTATCAAAGACTAAGCGATAGAGTGGTATAGGCACTTATTTGATTGACGCGTATCACATGTGGATAGCTTTTTTATTTCTGGGAAAAAGTCTTTTTGTTGAATTATTTTTTTTACAGTTGCATGCACCTGGACACACGGGCTCAACTTGAAAGAAAGCTTTTGCTCTGATGAAATCTACCCACAAGATGGAACCTGCTTCAACTGCATTTTCTAGAGCCTTTTTTAAAATGATTTAAATAATGGCAATAAAATAATGTTATTTGTAATGAGGGTGCAAGAGGAGCTAAATTTAAGAGTGGTTAGACTTGTCAACTTTAGCTGTGTGATTGAAGCGAAATATTCCTTTAACACATGATCGGGGTTTTACCACGTATCTGAAGCAGCAGGGGCATTGCACTAGGAAGAAAGCCATTAAGATTTTGATTAGAAATGTGTATATCGGTCACATGACACGAAAACTAAACTCAAAGTTTTTCCAACTGCGATCGGTTAAGAGGCTTAATTGAATTCGTGTGTTGTGATGCAGTCCAGTGCTTTGTCGACCATAGCCCGTAATCGGAGTTCTTGCCTCTTTTTCGTGCTATATCGCCCTCTTGGGTTTTAATAGTCACAGCCTCAGACCCGTCGCTTTTTAATTTTGTACGCTTGATTGTTGCTATATGGTAATTGTCTGGGAGAATTGCTGCCTTAAATATTGCTTGTCGATCCTGGCTCAGATGAGAGCTGTCAGCTCAGTAGCTTACTAACTTGGATGAAAATTCTGAGCGGGCAACTGTAGGTACACAGGTTTTCAAGGGCTTGCACTGACGCATGTGTGGATACGCGCTGTGTGTGTGTGTGTGGGGGGGTGTAACCTCGTGAGGTTCCGGTTATGCCACTTGAATCTCCGCCAAAGTTCATTTATGACCAGCTGAATAGCCAGATTAGCTTTCGCATTAGCGGTGCCTGACATGGGCTTTCGGGTGACCCATTCATTGTGTTCCTCGGGGGAAAAGGTCCTCATAAATGCATCACTATTGATTAATGACGTCCTGAAATGCTCCATTATCCATTAGACAATGTGCAAGTGCCTCTTAATTCACCGCGAAACAAACCACGGAGGACTGATCCGTCAACAGAAAGTCAACACTTCAAGCGTGGCAGCCTGTGCATTCAATTTACCACGCCTTCTGCCCTGCAGCCAGGGTGCTCAAGTGTGGTTGTGACGTGCGCCCGCTGGTTTTTTTTTATTAAAGAAAATACTTTGTGCTGTGTTATCAATTGCCCGTTACATACTCCCCAAATTAATGAACAATGTCCTCCTGAAATGACATCACAGCGACAGCGCCCTCATTTGCCAGGAACAGCGTGGAAAACTTCCACAGTTGAAAAAGTGCGTTTATCAATAAGATTACTTCCACCCCCCCCCAAAAGAAAAGAAAGGGATGCCAAATATTTGTCATGAATAGAACGGTGCTCGGAATGAACGTTACCAAGTATACCAAGCATTGTTATGGGCCCTGTAAAAGCAAAGCTTTCAATGCGATATCTAATAAAATACCTAAATATTCCTACAGGGCCTCATATGAGGTCGGCATTAAACAATGCTGAGGTACCAGTACACGTACATGATTGCCTGACAACCTGCATTATCGAACTCGCCCACGTGCCCTGTCGTCAGTCAGATGTGTTAACATTAATACTCTGAACAACCATTCTGTGATATACATGGCACATTGTCCTGAAGGATCACCACGATCTCACAGCAAACTGGCTTCCAATTTGATCAGATTTATCAAGTCTGCGAGTGTGACTGATCCGCCGAGGTAAAGTCCGGACGTGGGCGTTCCCATCTTTCAAATGAAAAATACTCCGCCCCTTCCTCTGTACAATAAAGTATAAACCCATCTGTTATAGTCAAGAGACAGACTAGACCTTTGATCATTAGCGATTTCGTGGACAAAGAGCAACATGCTATAGGCGAATCCGGGCTATTCCAAGGGGGTGGGTATTGTACCAAAGTCAACAATTACAGGGAGACTAAATTGGCCTACGTGTACATATACATGTTTAAGCAAAACATCGAAATTGAAAATATTGAATGAGGTTAATTCAAGGAAGGAAATTTAATTTTCCCCTGAAGTATTGAACCGGAGGTTCCATCTCACCAAATCCGCGCTTGAAACTTATAATACAAGCAATTGTCGATACCAGAAATCCTGTACTAAAAGATATAGTTTGATTTATACTGATAAATAAAGATGGAGATTCCAGTCTCGCAATGGAATGAGAGTGGAGTATGATCACACAGTTGCCGCTGAGTACACAATGCTCAAGCTCAGTTTAGTCATTAATTATTCACTGCATGCTGCACGCGAGCACCCTCGTGTTAAACGAAAAAGTGCAAGTTACACCACACCATGTCCGAGAACGTCCTATTCTGTGAGAACACTTTTTCAAAATGTTAAAATGTTGTGTCAAATTACAGGGGAAAGACAGCCAAAAGCCAATTAATGCTTGGCTCAAAGATGGACTAATCTTGAGAAATATGGGCCAGGTAATAAAGTTGTCATATTTTTAGATATCTTAATTAATCCTGTGAAATACATGTGTGTACACAGCGTGACTTGTTTGACAATTTACCTGTTACAAAATTGAAGTTTACGTATTACATTTAAATTCAAATTGCTACCATTGAGAATTCTTAGACCATTTTAATTGTGTTTACAGAATCTGAAATGTATTCACTTCTTTTTTTCTATTCAGTAAGTTGGCTTTGACTACCCAAGAAAAGCGCTTGGCCCACATGACCCCTTTAAGCGTGTGCTTCACCGCCGGCTGTAACAAACATCGGACAGAACCTTAAAGGTAGCTGCAATCAATGTTTTTGACTACAAACCTGTAAAATGCACCCATGTGCCTCAGTAAACCTCATTTTTAAACTTTGGTTTCACTTTTTGACGGGGTATTTTAATGCGTTTTTTGCTTTTTATGCTAATGATTGTTACCGTATTCATGAGCAAAACTGTAATGTCATACATGTATCAGGAATTAAGAAGCCTCAATGTTACACTGGCTTGCACACAAAAAAGTCCTGCATGTTTGTAGATTTTCCTGGACTAAGTTTTCTCTTCTTTGCTCAGCTGATTCGCTGTTGTTTATGTGCATAGCAATAAGAAACCATCAATACCTCTCTCAGAAATGTTATCAGTTATTCGTAAATTCTGGGTTCACAAGTTGAACACAGCTGCCTATGCATTGAGCCGTGTCTTCCCCAGATGACTTCACAGCAACAGCGCCCTCATTGCCCGGGAAAAAATGGACAATTTTGATCGTTTAAAAGTGTGCACTTTTCAGTGCATTTAACCAAATAGGAGTGTGGAAGAGATTTAATGCATATGATGAAAAGTACAAAGATGCAGAAAAATTGTGTCGAAGAAAAATTCATTGCAGCTACACTTTAAATTCCGCCTTTTTTTGCTCTGTCCCATCCTTACCTGCGCAGATAAGTGACTACACCGGATTCATGTGTCGGCCATCTTGAATCGAAAGTGAGGTTAACAGTCCATTTTCAGAACCTGATCAGTGAGGATGACAGGAAAAAACAAAGGTTAATCACACCTTACTGGTCACTTGATACATTAAGAATTATTTAGAACCAATTCTTTTAAGTCACATTAAAATAGACTGGCTACTGTCCCGTACTTGGTCTTCAGACGTCTTGCAGGCGTCCTCCGAACCCATAGGGACTGGTAGCAGGTAATGATTTTGGAGGAATCCTGCGGGTTTTATGTAAATGAGGAAATTAGCCAACTTTCCTGCAATGCAACACTGTCACGCGACAAAAATTTGAAAGGCTTTCTTGAATGGATTAACACTCTATACTTAGTCATTTTGCGCGCAACACAATTTTCAGACGTATTTATCTGCTTTTTAGGGGTAACCACTTCCATAATTACAGGGGAAAAAAGTTCTAAAGTTTTTCCAAGAGCCATGTGCTCGGCTGTCACACGCACGAAAGGTTGTTTGTAAACATCATTTCTATAAATAGAAAAGGCAACTATGCCTACACAGAGCTAAGCCAACCACGGACCACAAAAGCCAGCTGGTTAGTGGTTCCTATAGTAGGGACGGGGACCAATCCAATAAAAAAAAAAACCGACAATGCGTCTTGGTACCCCAAATAGTCTGGCGCCACTTCAGTAAACTACGATAGACTCAGGGAACACAGTTAAAAATGGCTTCTCTGTAAGTAAGGTCGCTGCCACGGATGATAAATACACAAACAAGCTAGCAGTCATGTGGATGCCTTCCACACTATAGTCCAAGGGCCACAAAAATATTTTACTACAGCGACGAATTAGACAGCATACAAATCGTGATTCGGCCAGCGCCGGCAATTTTTGTGCCTAATTACCGCACAGTCCTTTCCCACACGCAGCAGCGTTTCACTTCAGATCGGGAGTTGGCAGGCTAGACCTCCGTCGTGACTGCCACCGAAGGCATCCCTTGTACAAGGCAAAATAGCAAGGAGTCCAAACAGTCTGATGCGTGTCGTCGCACTGATAGAACCACATAATTTCCCGTCTTTTGTGAATCCCTCAGACATTGCATTTCTGCGCTGCCGTTGGCTCGACTGCGCTTATCAACTAAACAACCATTTGTCATTTGATTCATTTTGTGCATCCTCCGAGAAACTTCCGTATCCGGGCTACGTACGTGCCGAGCTTGTAGGCAGGTATAGATGTTTAAGTAAGTGTTGAAGCTGGCCAAAGTTCTCATTATGTAGAGCGTCTTTTTATTTGGTTTGTTATAATTGACAAATTTAAATGTAAAATATTCCTCAAAATTTAGCTGTTTTATTGTTTGGTGAATTCATTTATAAAAAAGTTAAAATTTCACGAATTGATTGATTGATATATTTTTTACGTATGAGATGCAAAGAAATCTAGTACATTTGGTTACTAGCACTTAATCCATCCATCCTTTTTGTGAAATCATGTATTTGTGTCCTTATTACTCAACCTCGAACGAGTTCAAATACCGCCTTTATTTAATACTCGGTTTCCAGGCTCCGAAACTGTCACGGTACCTGCAAACGCAAATATCCACTAATTTCATTGCTGTTTAATTTGTCGGGTGGGGCCTGTTGTTTTCCCAACACTTCACATTTACTCACCGAGTTTGAGACCTTTGGACCCTTGGAGAAGAAAAAAAAACCAAATAAACAGAGTGAGGCTTTGTGTCATTAGAGGGGTGTTGATTCTCGGGCATTTGATTCTCTAGT